TCTTGGTTCTGAATTAATAAATAAAGGATTAAAGAATAGTTATGTGAGACTTTTAAGTATAAAAACTCCTGCATGTCTATGGTGTATATTTTATCCTAACTAGATGCAATTTACTTAAATAAGGCAATTTAATCAGTATCTAGTAAATTTGTCATTTGATATTGTAGATTCTTTCATCATATTTCACTTTAATCAAGAAAGGTAACACCTGTGGTTTATTCACAAAAGCTTCTTTTGTTAAATGAACACCCGCAGGCCATGAAGCAATTACATTTGTTGCTTGTACCAAAGTAGGAGGCACTTAAATAGACCTTAGTAGGGACAGATGAGAACTTGCAGACTTTATTCTTTTGTCCAGCACTGAGATTAGTTCTTATCACAGCTCAAGAAGAAAGCCTCTGAACTGAAAAGATGGCAATGATTTAAAGTTCTTCTTAAATTTGAAACTTTGATATTGCTGGAGGTGATGTGAATACCTGTGACCTTGCAAGAGTTCAAACTTACCTGCTCCCAGCTGATTGTACGTGCTGGTGTCCTTTGATAAACGCAGACCGCCTGGAATTCCAAAGGGAGAGACTGCAAGAGATTCATAGTTATAACTCTCCACTTACTTATTAAAAGTCTCCTATTTATCCATCTTTAGTACCTTCCAATTCCCCAAAATCGCACCAAAAAAATCCCAAACCCCACCAAAATAAAAACAGCAACCCAACCCACAAAAGCCTATTATCATCAAGTTGAGTTTGGGGGTAATTTTGAGGCAGATAATTTAATCTGTTAATCTTACTAGCAGGATGTTAGTTTTCTAATACGCCAGTTAATGCAGTGCAGGCATCTCGTCTCTTGGTCTTGAAGTTAGTGAGATTGATCACCCAAAGTTTGACATCATGCAAAAAGACTAGAAGAATATAATTTTATTAACCCCACCCTTTATGTAAGTTAATGATTTATGCTAGGAATACCTGACCTGTACACTGGGAAATGACAACATCCCTGCGAATTCAGCCCATTTGTCGCAGTGAAAGATGCTATTTTTGTGAGCTGAACAGAATAAGCTGCTGCTACAAGCTGTTGTGTTAAGTGATCATCTGTCTCTTCTGGCCTATCTGCTCCTGTGCCAGAGCCCTCGGAGCCTTGGGAGGGAAAAGGGGGAAGAGTCGTGTGTCTGCTCAGTGCCCTGGATTCTCGTGCACATAAACTGCACCTCAGATAACCAGTTTTGCCTGAGAACTGCTGTTCCTTGGAAATAAATCCCCAGATAATCTGCACAAAACCAGAGGCATAAGGGTTGCTGAGGCCAAGGGAGTAGCCTGCAGCCGATGAGAGGCAGCGTGTTTTCGCATGAACCTGCGCTGCTGTGGGGCTGGGGGTGCCGCACGCAACCCGCCAGTTAGTTCTGGGATGATGCAGTTGTTGGCTTGGTGGGACTTTGACATCTTAGGTCTGGCCTGTGGGTAAGGGAGAACTGAAATACTGCCTCCTCTAAGTTAAATGCTTTTGCCGCTCTTGTAAATAGGTTTTGTATTCACAGTCTTTCCATGCCTAGTGATGGTAACCATTATTTCAGTTGTACTTCTGTGACAGAGTTGTCTAGGAAGCACATGGTCCCTGGCCTGCAAATACTAAAATGAAACAATGTGAACTGCCAGGCAAGTGGCTTTCCCAATGCCTTGGTTGGTTTAGCAGTATCAGCCTATTGGTGCATCATTTATATATTCATACTGTAAATACAACTTTTCAATAGGGTTTTTTTTGTTTTACTTTTGTTAAAAATGTATCTTATTCTCAGCTACTGTGGTTTCATAGTTTTGAGGCATTTCAGATCAGGTCCTGATTCTGCAAAGGTTGATACTCAAAGTTAACTTTATTCAATGTGAGTAATGCCACTGAAATCGTTGATGTGGTCTAGAAATAGCTTGGTGCATAAACCCTTGAAGGATTCTGACTTTAGCCTTTATTTCAAAGGGGTGTAAACAACTTTTTTTTTTTTTTTCTAAATTAATGATTACAGCCTGTCACCGGTATTTGGTTTTACATTTTCATGTGATTTTTATTGCTTGTCTTAATTTTAGGTTGTAGTGAAGTGCCTAGATGATGGACAGGCACCATACAAAGGTATTATACTGCATTCTCTCTAGATGAATCATACCTTGTGACAGTACTACTCCAAATGACAAATCTAGAGGCATAGGGTCTTGTCATACCTTCCATGGAGAACTACGAAAGTTACCATCAGTGGTGAATTTCACAATATTGGAATATACTTTAATGCAAATGTTCTATCTGGAATGCAAACTATGAACATCTTGTTTCCACAAGTATTTATAAGTAGTATTGGAAGTAGTCAGTGGTATGCCACAGCTGGCAAAAGCACTTCACTTTTTTTATACTTTTGGATCATGGAAGAAAGATGGGAAGGTCTAGAAGTGTTTGGAGATACGTGTGTTATATGAGCGGGTCCTTATTTCACATAGAACAGCTGAGCGTCCTGTTCTGCCTGTGAATGGGGGAAGCAGTAAAGTAGAAGGGGAGCTGGTAGTGCCCTGTGTCTGAAACAGCACGTTGCAAGAAGTGATGCTTTTTCAGAAATGTGAAACCTTACTGTGGCTTTGCTTTTTTATTCCATTAAAAAATATCCTTTCATAGTAATCTATGCGTCTCCTTTCTGTATGTTTGCTGAGATTAGTCTTTCAAAATGACAGCAGTTTGATGTATTATTTGTAATCTGGTAGATGCTGGACAGGACAGTTTGCACTAGAAAGGTCAGAACGTTGCTGTGCACTGCAATACGCACCTGCAAAACGAACTCATGTAAGTTGTGGACACTGAATGCTTTAGGTGCGTGCACTGCACATGAGTGACAATGAATATCCTGGAGTAACAATGAATATCCAACTAACCTAACAATTGCTGCAGGACATTTAAACAGGCTGTGTACCATAGAGGTTTGCTGGAAAACAGGAGTGTCAGCACATTTAGAGACCTATCAAAACTGTATAGCCACACACGATGAGGTGCAGGTCATTTGACTTTGAATATATTTTAGAAAAAATTATTTAAGTTGACTTCTGGTTGGTCCTTCTGTTGGCAAAGCTGTTGGGGTAGGAGGAGGGCCAGAGTCATCTAGCTGCTACTGACTGGCCTTCCTGGAGAAAGCTCTTTGTGCACCTGCCAGCAATCTGATCAGCCTACAAATAGCCAAGGTGGCAGATGAGCTGAATGGGGAATTCCTGTACCGAAGGACTGGGAGAACAAGTGGAAGACCTTGACAGAACGAGCAGATCAGTTTAAAACACAGGCTGCGGCACTCCTTTATAGAGGAGCCTGTGGAAGGAAAGGGCACCAGTAGGTTTCAGGAGGGTTTAGCCGTGGGGCAGCTCTCCACACGGCTCCCCAAGGAGGCAGCAGGGCCAAGGGCCTCTGTCCCAGCTGCCGCACCTCTCCTGGGTACCAAGAAGTGCCGGGGGGTGGCGGGTAGATGTCCAGGCACACCCGGGCTCCCCGCGATGAGCATCTGTTTGCCCCTGTCAGGCACAAAGTACTGGTTATTAGTCCGTAGCTTATACATCTGCCCCAGCTCAGCGAAGGGGCTCGGGGGGAGCCTCTGCTGGTACCCGGCAGGCGGGAGCATGACTAAGCAAGAGCCTAAAAGGCTTCTTTAAGGACAAGGTTCCTGAGCAGGGTTACCTGGCCGGTCACGTCTAAGTGCCAGCAATTACACTTCAACTGCATTTTCCTCAACTGTGTATCTGGAGGACCTGGTTTTATTCTTAACAGTTTACATCCAGACTAGACTACTGGAGTAGTATTTCATTTTGCTTAAGTCTGTTATCCTTGAATTCTAAACCATTGCATTTATGAGCCATTGTGACTTATTTCTAAAACATTAATGTTTCTACTGCTCAAGCTCTTCGAGTTTCATTTGAAATATTTTGGTTTTTTGTTTCAGTATCTTTTTTTACTCTGAATTGTGGGCATAGTAATGTTTCAAGTACATATTTGGTTTGGGAAAATTTATGTTAACTGAAAATCCATGTTAAATATTACCTAGATTGAGAATATGTTGCTACTTTTAAATTTTCAGCCCAGTTTAGAATTTTAGAAACAATTATTAAATATTTTACCGGGTAACTTGTAAGAGATTATTCATATCTGAAATGTTTTTAAAAACTATCTCAGAATAGTGTTGGATATTCCAGTTTAAGACTTAAGAGTAGCAACTTTTTCATCTATGAAAGCTTTATACCCTTATTTAGGTAACTAATACAGCTATGTTGCTATTTTCATTTTGCCAGTCAGTCAGTGAATGCCGTGAATCTATGGTATGTAATATAGTTAATGCATAATATATATAGGCAATGAAAGGTCTTTGTCATATAGTATAAGGTCACCATCATTAATTTTCAAATTATAAAAAGGGATTTGCTGTTTCGTGATCATCATTACTGCAATATAATGTGTTGTGGATTCTGCCTGCACATAGAATGAACTGTGATCTTAATTAGAACTTTGACAAGCCTACTCCGATAAAATGATGAGATTATTCGTAATTGATGTCACAATCAATTACCAGTTAGTTCATCATGAATCTACTAACAGGTCTAGCCTTGGTGCTGGCCCCAGGATGTTGATGAGTGTGTGGCTGCCCTGTTCATGCTGTTACTGCGACAGGAGGGCAGATTTTCAGTCAACATCCTAATGACCTCTTTTGAAGTCTATTAAATTAATGACCCTGTCACATTGGTCTAACCTCTTACATCTTCATTTTGGATTTTTTGTTGCAAACCATTGGTTTTCGAGCACATGATAGAACAGATACTTTGCAGCACTCCTCCTCATCCCTCCAAATCTGGCACTGTGTCTCACTAGGTTCAATAAAAAATTAGTTCATTATTCAGTCATGAAATACAGAACACTGGAATGAGAAAATATATTGTAAGGCAATCTATGCTTAATACCATTCTATTTTCTTTTTATATTTTGATCTTGTGTAATCATAGGTGCCTAAAGGACATGTTTGGTTAGAAGGTGATAATCTCAGGAATTCTACAGATTCCAGGTGCTATGGACCTGTTCCTTACGGGCTGATAAGAGGACGCATTTGTTTTAAGGTATATATATTTTTATAGTATCTAAACCATAGTTGCATTAATACTTTTTTAACACCTGGGTGTTAGGTATTGAAACTTGCCTCCTTAACTGTTTGGCTAAAGTAAATGTAAAGGAAACCTTCAACACACCCACCACTTACTGCAAAAGGATAATTCAACGGTGGTGGAGGTTTTTTTGAGGGAGGACTTGTTTTTTGAGCAGCCCTCGTGGAGCAGCCACTGCTTCTGAAAACTGAATGAGTTATTTTGCAAGCAAATCCAAACCTGATAAGAACACAAACACGCACAAGCACCCAACTGCCCAGATATACATCCCATCCTTACCTTCTGACCTCTGCAGAATGGTAGAAGGGGGCAGCTCTGTATTTCATTGTTGTAATTTGAGAAGTGTTGTTCCATAGTTGAAAAAAACAAAATCAAGGAAAAAGTTCTTGTTCTGGGACTTGCATACATGCTTTAGACCTGTAGACTGGCCTTGCTAGTTTTTAAACTAACTGTGAAACCAACAGTGAAGTCAGATCTGTGCTGCCTTAATTGTCTGCTACATTTTTATTAAAAAAAAAAGCTTTGAATTATTATTGTGTTACGTAAACCTCTGTGGTTCCTTCTGCTTCTGTTTCAGCAGTTCCACAGCTTTATTTCACACTGAATTTGCTTCTCATATTATCTGTATTATTAATTCACTCATTTACCCAAACAAAGAAACTAGCACAATTTCTTCTCCGAAAAAAAGCTTAATCTAAGAAACAAGGGAGTATGATTTATGGACGTAGGCACCAGCTTTTAGAAAGATTTAAAATGGTGCCATTCAGGACAATAGAAAAAAGGTTTTGAGACTTGTTCTCCAACACAGCCACAAAAACTATTAGTTTAGCAGAGCTGTATTACCAGCACAGGGAAGATTAGATCTTTCCAATTTAACCAAGTTTTATATACTTAATTTACAGTTTTTATGAACACACCTTAGGATTCCTTGAAAAACTTTGCAGCTATTGGCCAGAACCACAAACTGCTTACTGAACCTCAGATAACATGTCCCCCCTCAGCCCCACCACCAAGTTTTGCCTGACCTCTGTTCTTTCTGGACAGCATTTGCTTGGAGTTCTTCCCTCGCTTTTCTTGAGAGCTCTCTGTTCCTTCTCTGTATCATCTCCCTTCCCATGTACACCAGGGGAACAAATGCTGATTCTAAATAGGGCTATTTTTATGACTCAAGTTATCGCTTAGATTATTAACTGCTACAATAGAGATGATGGTGATATGCTGACAGCCCTCTTAATAAAAATGTGGCATTAATAATCTGCCTGAAAAAATAAAAAATTCTCCAGCTGATGTACCAGTATAGAAAAACTGCTGTTTACTACTGTAAGGGTACTGTTAGCAAACTATATATATATATACGTTAAGAACCCGTGTGTGTGGATAGCCATAATTATACACACTATTTCTCAACAGCAATAAATTTCTGTCCAACTTGTACCCCAACAAGGAAGATGCTGGAGAGAGTTTAATGAAAAGACTGATAGGACTGAACCCTAAATTTAGGAAGCTGAAAACTCTGTAAAATGAATGGAATTTACATGCAGATATTGCATATTGAAGAAGTACTTCAGGACTGCACAGTATTGTCTATTTAAAAAGATAGTATGTGATCACTTGATACTTAACCAAAATAATTATTTAACCAAATTTTATAGCAGCCCTTTTATGATGGCACATAAAGCAGTGATTATTAACATTTTAATGAGATTTAAGTATATGGTGCCTAACAAAAGTAAAGATGAGTTTATTCCTCAAATGACTGTTTATATTTTGGGTTGTTTATGGTAATTCACACTCGAATATGGTGATCTTGCTGTTGTGTGTTGCTATTGAACATGAGGGTGAAAGGCAGCAGAACACAGCGAGTCCCCATGGTGGTAGCTAATTAGTGGACTGCTGGCCAAGAAAACTGCATATGCTCTTTCATGAAAAATCTTCTACTGCCCTGAGAATGGAAGCTTATGTGGCTTTATCTTAAAATGGATTTTGGAGAAGCAGGTGTAACAGCAGCTTTGGACGCTCAGTTTTGTTTTTAGTAATGGATGCAAAAAACCAAATCTTATTTGGAAGTAATGGATTTCAACAGAAGAGAGCGAGCTTGTACCAGGTTCATTTAGGCAACCTATTCTTGGCAAAACGTGTTTCCTCTTTCTATAGTTTATGTGTGACATTTAGACCCAAGATTCTCAGTCAGTGTTGGTGCACCAGTTTTTAGCACAAACAGAAATAACGATACCTGATTATATTTGCCCCTTTTCCTCCCTGCCACCACATCAACTACCACTCTGAGAGACTTCATTCCATGTAAAGGCCAATGAAATCAAAGTAGCTGCAAATTCAGTAGAAGGCTAGGAAGTCCCACTTTGACAGAATTCATGCTTGATCCTGCCCTAGGTAGGGCATCCTGTGCATTTCCTGGAGTTAGGCTCCATGTCAAAAATAGACCTGTTAGCGTATCTTCAAAAGAGCTAGTTAGCCCCATTTATCCCCCATCCATCAGCTCAAATCTAGGCCAATCCAAAGAGGGCAGGGGGAAAGAGCTGCTAATTGGACCAGCCAGTTTGAACGAACAAGTCACAGCAACTTCTGTCATAACTTTAAAAGACCTGGGAATCCCTACATGCAGTGGCATGTCTTTGTTTCACAGAGAAGGCTTGTTCCATCTCCTTTCCAACCGTAAGTATTCTTCTCTCGTTCTCTCCTGAACACAGACTAAATAAAACATTTTCATTTTACCTCTACCACTAGGATTACCGTGATGAATTTGAAACTAAATTATCAAAACAATGTTTAAAACAAATTTGATTGCTTTTACCTTAAGAAGGTCAAGCTGTAATAGGTGTGACTTGAGCTGCCTGAAATGAGATTTGTGCTGGAGTGAATGGCCACAGAAACTTCTTCTCCAGGCCTTTACTTAGATCAGCTTAGATTTGTAATAAGGGATAGTGCTGTTCCCTTTTACTCCTGTTTGCCTTTGAGGCCAAACAAAGACTTGACACCCAGCCTGCAGCCAGCACAGGCCCTCTGGAGAGCCTTGATTTCTGTGGCTTTGCTTCTAACCAAGACCACAAATATCCTTCTGCTGGTGGTTTTATCTGTGTATTTGTGTGGAACTGAAATAACTCCCTGGCTAATACACACACAGTGACAAGACGTTACCTCGGTGTATTTCTGTGTATCAGCAAATGTTCCTCACCTCTTCTCCAGCTGCACATGCCAAGAGAGACGTGCATTTTCTGAGATACTTGCACAAGAGAGCTTTGAGCCTTCTTCAGAACCTGAGGATGACTCATCCTCTGTCTTCTCAGGGGCACAGGCACAACCCAGCTGATGGCAACTGACCCCAGGGCTGCAAGGGCCTCACAGAGGCAAGTCTAGAGAGCTGCTACCAGTGCGTAGTCCCAGTCTAGTAATAAGTCAATGCTGCGCCTTGCTAGGCTCATCCTTAATGGCCTCGGCCTTTTCTGACATTGTCTTTAGTGCTGGGGACAAATCGTGGGGTTTGAAATAGCCGTCCTTGGCACTGTGGTAAGAAAACTACTTCTTCACTCCACCCAGAAAGCAGCAAAAGCTCCTTCTGTGCTGTGGCTGTTTCCTGAATTCAGTTAGAAAGTAAGCTCCTGTTCCTGGAAGGTGACTGCACACCTTCCTTAAGCTCAAATTCTGAGGAAAACCAAGCAATATAAAGATCATACTGACAAATGCTCTGGGAACAAGGTAGTACATCATCCTTCTTTGTCCAAGTCTCTTCATCTTGAGCAGGGGCTGTGAGATTTTTATGGGATTAGAGCTACCCCAGAGAGCATTCACTCTTCAGCATCATCTCTTTCTCTTCTGCCTGCTGATCCCCTCATGCTGCCTCTAAAAGAACATGTTACAGGCAGGCAAGGGATACAAAGGACAAAGTGTAACAATGTCCTCGATTCTCTATTACTTTCTTTTTGCGTCCATGGCCAGCCTACATGTAATTAGTGAATGTTCAGAGGAAAATACTTCTGGGAGCTATACAGTTAATTTCTAGAGAGAAAGTTTTTTTCTTACTGGTGAACATCATTCTCTGAAACTTCTGCTTGTACTTGGACATGATTTGTGTTCCTTTTCCTACGTAGTGGTCCTCTTCTCAAGGAAGCCCCTTGCTTGGTGTAAGCTTACCTATAAGCTTGTGCAATTCTTTTCCAAGGTTTGGTGTTTGCAGTTCAGTTGCCCATCTAGAAAATACAAATACGCACCTCGCAGAACCGATTTCAGATGGATCAAAAATATATACTTCTGTCTTTTAAATTTACAAGCTAGAAAACTCTGAATTTGAAATATATTTTCTAGGAACATATTTATTTCCAAGGGTAAAAAATAATGTAATTTGTGAGGCTCTCTGTAGCAAAGCATGCTGCGTATGAATTAGTGTTGTCTTCTGCCATGATGGAATAATGATTGCCTGATACACAGCTTTTGTTACTCCTATTAAAAGAAACACACAGTTGAGCAAAGCTCATATACGCTATCAACCAAAGAGCTAAAAATTATTTTTGTAATCACTTCATAAACTGCATAACAAATGAAAATACTGAACTTCTGAGTTGTGATTTCCATCTCTTGTAACTGTATTTTATTTTACAGATATGGCCTCTGAATGACTTTGGATTTCTACGTGCAAGCCCAAATAGCCATAGATTTCTTGATGATTAACAGATTTAAGTGACTATTGCCAGCTTTCATAATACTTTCTACTAAAATCAACAGAACTATTTTTGTTTAGAATAAACAGAAGCATTACTTGACAAAGATGTCTCTTTCTGAGATTATATCTAACTTGAAAGTGGGAACGATATGCTGCTGTCACCATCAAAAATGATATGCCTCGTATTACTCTATCCTCTGGCTATTCACAGTAAGTGCTTGGATTTATTAGAAAGTTTTGGGGTTTACTACAAGCCAAGGTTAGCAGTGACTGTTAACAAGGGATAAAGAGGCACAGTGCACTTTTAACGTTGTCACACGGCCAGAGCCACGCACAGGCAACGCCTACATTAGCATGTCATGTAGTCTAGTCCTAGCATGCTAGGACTGGAACTGAGAACTTAACAGTGGGGTTCCACATCTGCCAATCATTGTACGTGTTCTGTAGGGTTTTCCTTAAACTGGCCCTAGTTAGTTTGGCCCCGTGGGCTGTATGCCCAGGAGGGTCAGAGCACAGCTTCCTGCTTAGGTTTCACTTCAGGAATGAAGACTGCATTTGCTGAGGTGGTGGCGAGTCAATTCAGAGTGTGCTGCTGCTCCAAGCTGAAGAGGTCAGGGCGGTGCCCTGTTTCAGCCCGCTGCGTTGGCACCGGACCTGCTGCTTAGTACTGAGGCGACCAGGCTGTGAGATCCGCCAGTCTCTGCCACCTCTTTCCAAGGCTCAAGTCCTTGTGAGGAGTTAACAAAGTTGAATATTTAGCACAGAAATATATAATGTTCCTGTTGCCCATTAATGCACCTACATTCATTATCTTCAAAGCGTTCTCACATGTATGCCTCCTGATTAAATTTTGTCATCTGAGCTGTTAAAAGGATTTAACCTAAAAGGCAGGGCCCAAGGTATAGTTGATAGAGACCGAGATTGAAAGAAGCTGCTCTGTTGTTTGCTGAGAAAGAAATGTCATTTAGATCATGAGATACATTCCAGTTGTACGGAACTTAGTATTCTGTCCTGGAGGTTTTTAATAACTAGCTCTTTAGCTGTGGAAGGAAAAAACCCAAGCCTCATGTCTGCAGAGCTAAGTTAGCAAACAGGCACATTTCCTTTCTTAAGCCTTACTGATCTTGTTGTAGGGCCCCCTTTTCTGTAACATATGTTTTTTTTCATCAGATGCTGCTTCGTGTTTGTCCAGTCCTTTCAAAAGTTTGTAATTCTTAACGTGCTTGATTGAAACAATCACTGAAGGATCTCGATAACAAGTGAACAGGTGTCACAACACACCAAAGATACATCTTTGGTTTCACTCCCGAAGACAGCGTAATTCCCACCACATCGACATGAGAGAGTATAACATTGTTCATCTGCCAAAAAAAAGCAAACAAAAAAAAGCTTTTAGTGCTTGAGATGAATCAAGAATTTATTCTGGATTTTCTTCACAAAGCTGCTCTTAATAACAAATGACCTCCCATTGCTGAATTGTACATAGCAGTACGGATGTTACCATTTGTTGCTCAAATAACTATACTCTTAAAATGTTTCAGTGACTGAGAGGCACTCTTACGCCAAACTGCCAGGGTTGGTGTAGTCTCTTTTATAAAAGCAAGTAAGTTGCTTTTTTGCAGTGAGCAGCCAGAAATTAAAAGAAAAAATGAAGGAGTGTTAGTCATACATATGACAGGATTAAAGATAGTTCTGAAACAGATTGCTAACCTAGGAAACAATAAACAGAAGAAAATAAAGTAGATAGGACTTTACCCTCACAGCTTAAATAGTTAAAAAATTATTAAAATTCATTAATTCAAAAAGGAAGTAAATGATAAAAGCTAGACTAATATACAAGGAGAGAAGTAACACAGTGTCAGATGAAAAAAAAATCCGTATGAAAACACTTGCGTTCTACGATCACAGAGCAAGAAAAGAGATTTAGGAAGAATCTAGGTATCTAAATATTCAATTATACGACAAACAGAGCTTGGTGAGAAGTGGTACTGCAAGCAGCGGGGTGACAGGGTGGAGTAGGGAAGATGTGAAGGAGGAATACAAGAGAAGTATCACAGAAAGTTAAGTTTTAATTAAGGTAATTACAGAGAACAGAATAGCTAAATCTGAGGAAAATACAGAAAACTAGAATTTACAATGAGTCAACATAATGTTATAAGATGCAGATAAAATAGAAAAAACGTTTGCACTGATAATGCAAGGCACTGAGAACAAGCAGCAATGCACTCATACCTTCATTCCAGGACATATCCTCCAGACAAATTTGTGCATGTAGTGGCCATTCTTTTGTCAGATTATCTTCTATAAAGAAAATGTGACAGATGTTCAACACGGATAACACACAGGTCCCTATTTCTTCCTGATAAATTAATAGCTTTATATACCTAGACCATGTTATCAGTTAAAAATGCAGTTCTTGAACATTTTAGTTTCCATACCTCTGCATAAGCTGGACAACGTTCTGCTGTAACAAAGAGAAGTAAATGGTGAAGACGCATCACTGGCATTAAGACACTACTGAAACAATTACTTCTGGGCATCCCAATGATGTGAAATTAGGAGCAGGCTTTTGTTTTGATCTAAATACCTTTTAAAAGCCTGGCTGTAACTACAGTTCTGCAAGCTGATACCATGAATGTTTGCTTACCTGCACTTTTCACAAAATTACAGGATGGTTAAGGTCAGAAAAGACCTCTTGAGATCACCTCATCAAACCCTTCTGCACAAGCAGGGTCAGCTAAAGCAGGCTGCCCAGGACCATGGCCAGTCAGATTTTAAGTATCTGCACAGAGGGAGACCCCACAATCCCTCTTAGGCAACACATTCTCCTTAAGAAAGGAGAAGCCAAATAAAAGCACCCCAGTAAGCACCAAGAAATTGTTAGACATGCATGTGACAAGAACATCAAGATTCCTGCAAAAAGATATTCCAAACAAAAGAAAAATGCTTTCAGAGGAAGACTAGTCCAAGTGCTCTTTTACGATAAAATGTCTCTCAGCGCAGAAAAAAGTCAGTTCTGGCCTGCACCTGTGACATTTGTTGCCATCTGATCCCCTAGATTCTTCCAACACCGAGTACAGCATGAGACGAGAAGTGTACAGTACAACTGAAATTATCAAATGCAAACTGCGCAATACAAATACAAACTGGTTTTTGTAGTTTATCAGCACACTCATACTTCACGTGCAAAGTTCACAAGAAGTTCTTGAACTGACAATGTAAGATTTTGTCAAAAAAGTTGCAAGTTAAGCCATAAAAGCTAATATTTTTTTAAAAAAGGGCATTAACCCCTTACAAATTACTACACAAAACCTCCCAGGTGCTGCCTGTCACCTAGAAACCCCAACACTTCAAAAGCTGTATTTTAAAGAACCAGAAACACCTGAAAGCTGAGCTTTAGCACATACACAGAAATGCCTTAGATTTGGCAGGACTCGGGAGCTTAGTGCTTAAATTTATGGTTTAAATCAGGTTGTTTTTGAGAAAAGTAGGTGTTCCTTCTCTTGGATCCGTGAGTTTCTAGGCAAGTTTTCTCTAAATTAACTTAAAAATCTAACCAGCGTGTTGCTTTGGTTTTGTTTTAATTGTTTTCCTTTCATGGCTCTATCAGTTTCAAGAGTAGGGCATCACAGGTAGAGCTATGAATGTAATGTACCAGTAGTGAAATGAACCCTTTGCATTTTAACTATCCTTATGTGTAAGGGTGAGTGGAAAGAGTTAATACTTAAATTTCCTATTGAAAAATCCAAAATATAAGGCCAGTTTAAAAAAACCCCAACCAACCACCAATTGTAAAGTGTTTATTTGCAACTAAATGACTGGTCTAATTTTAACTGAAATGTACATTATATATCCTTGAGAACAAGCCTCATCTACAGCCTCATCTACATGAGTTTTAATGAAGGAGATTAAAACGAATCAGACACATCGGAAATAGTGGCAGCATCCATACAGCTGTTTTGACGTTACCTTTGCCAAACAGCTCTTCTGTAATGAAAAGGTCAAAATGAAAAGAAAACCCACTCACACCTAATACCTTATTGCTGTCAAAAGAAAAGGAAAAAAATCAGCAGGAGTATAGTGACGAAAGAAAACTGGAAGATGCAGGATCACTCGCTCATTGGCGTTGTTGTGCCTGCTCTCAATTACCTAAACAAGAACTAGGGGCAATGTTTTTGTTATATGAAGTAACAACATTTTCTTAACACCTGATCATAACAACTGCACAAAACATCCAAAGTCAAAAGGTCAGATGGTTTTAACTTGTGCAAAGTAACTCCAATGTTACTTGGAGCTAGTCTGGTACAGCCTTCTAGCTACAAAACATGAGAGCAGGAAAGCGAATGTCCTGAAAACACGCACAGCCCAGTCAGAGGCCTTGTGTGAAGTAAAGATTCCTCTTCCTTCTGCTTGGACAGACTTCAATTTCATCTCTGCTCCCCCCGCCTCCTTAAAAGAGAGGAGGAGAAGGTATTGTTGCCCGTCCTGTGTTACTAGGTAGGCTACGTCTGCTCAAGCTGTGGAAGCCTGGAGTTGTACTTCCTGCAACAGATTCCTGAACGTACAGGGAAAATCATGAAGACCTCGCCATCTATCTGAACTTGAAAACTAAATCTTAATTCGCAAGAAATAGCGCCTGCCGGGCTTTGCCATCTATTGGATTTGTCTGACAACAGAGGTGAAAGGATTCTGCAGCTCCATTGTCTCAACTGCAGGATCTAAGAAAACACTGGCAGGCTCATCAGAGAGGTTTATGAGCCTGCAATTCAAAGAGATTAAAAGGAAAAATCTACTGAGATTCTTTCAGGCTAGAGAACAACATTAAATAACTATTAGCAGCTTGGTTCAGTAAAGCTTTACTAGAGCCCTTGCTGGGTCATTCAGAAATTGTAAAGGAAGGAAAGGTATTTAAGCTTCACTTGAGGATACAATAAATATTTCTTGGACTATTTCAGGCTGAGTTTTAGGGAAAGGGTTACAAGCAGTAAATGGAAATTTAACCCTTTTAACAGTTTATGGTAATAGTAAAAATAGTCATAATACTTGAAAGATTTTTCTAGCTCTTTATCAGTCATATATTCTTAGGATTGATTATTTTTTTAAA